ACTTCATTAGGACTGGTCAAAGATTTCTGCATTTGATTAAACAAAAGCAAAACTTCTAATGACAAATTAGTGCTATCATAAGCATTATCAAAACAGGCTTCTGATTGAACAGAAGTATTATGGGCATAAGCTGTAAGTATGGAGTTCCAAAAAGCTAAATCCGGTCTTGTGATTTGATCAAAGAGGAATCTTGCAACCCCCAATTCACCACTCCTAGAGTAGAAATTAAGCAACGAGGCTTGAACAAAATGATCATAAGGTGGTTCAAGGAATTTCAAGACATGGGTGTGCAAGGCGCGACCATGTTGAAGCCATGGTTGAGAACTACAAGCCTTAAAAAGAGAGGGGTAGTTGTAATTATTGGGCTTGAGAGTGGTTTGAGTGAGCATACGAGAGTAAAGAGCTAAGGAAAAGTGAAGTTGATCATCTTTCCTAGCAAGGGTTGATGAGATGAGGGTGTTGAAAAGGAAAATTGTTGGATTGCTTACTTGGTTGAAAATGGTTAGCGCATAGGAGTTGGTGGCGGCAAGGGTGGATGACGAAATGAGTATGCGACTGAGAGGGTAAGTGTGGAGAATAAGCCCAGTTGTGATCATTTGAGCATGTACTTGCTTGAGAGTGGCTATGTTTTTGCATTGTTCTATGAGTTTGAAAATTGGGTGGGCAGATTTTGGGCTCAATGTTTTCATGTGATGTGCTCGAAGCTTTGCGAGACAAACATAACCTTTCACAAGTCACTAGTGCAGAATGAGATTTCTTCTTTTGATAGTGCACTTGCACAGGATTAACCGCACAGCAGAACTCAATAACAATTCAGATCATGCCCACATCTGAAAATTAAATAAAGACATAATTAGAACTCATCATTTCAACATATACAAATTTAGCACTTATGTGAACAAAAATCATACATATGGTCATTATGGTCAAGATTTCTTTCTTTTTTTAATCGATTTAGTTACTGATATGAAAATTTGTTCAAATAATCTCACCACCATGCTCAGATCACATCACTTTCAATTAGGATAGTCACAATCTTCCATTATAAATAAAATAAGGAAAAACATAAACATAATCGAAATTTGATAAATAAACTAAAATTCAAAAATCCTTATGAAAGAAACACAAATTACCAACAAAAAGAAAGTGGAAAGGTGAATCACAACATCTTTCCGTAAAGTGAGAAAGTTAGTACTTCCAGTAATTTAGAACAATATATATCAAACATCACTAGTGTTTTGCAGTCTAGAAGTCATAGTTCATATGAAAAAGCGAACCTAATGCCATAATCAACTGAGGTGTTCAAGCATTTAGTCTCCTACGGAGCCCAGCAAATGCGCGACAAGCTTAGCGCTAGCTTAACAAAATAGAAGCAACTCAGAGAGGTTGTTAACAGCTTGTGCATGAGCTCATGCTGCCACATGGGAGGCAGTTACATGCAAGTCGCAGTAATTTTACTGAAATTAATTAGGAGAATAGCTTATTACTCATGCGGTACATAGAGTATTGAGTATTAACAGTAGCCTTGTGTCGGTGATAACTTATACCAGATATAGTTTCCCGGACCCAACTTTCAGCATTCAAACTCATAGTTCCTAAGCTGATGGTCATTGAGTCATTGGTACCAACTGGTATTAGAGTCATTTGAATCCTCGAAACAGTGTTGGAATGGCTAAAAGACCGCTAGAATATACTGAAGTGGATGTAAAAGAACTCACTAAGCAGCCTAAATAGTTGCCACCTCACAGGGGTAGATGACAGAATACCCTCGGTCAGTGACTATATACCAGTGAATAAGGAGGCTTATATATTTTTTGATAAGTAAAAAAGAAAAACATCACATGTTTGTTTTGGTTGGAAAGAAATTTTGTTCTTGTCATTTGTATATTACCACAGGGACTCAAATAGATGCATTGCGGAGCATAAGTTTTACAAACCACTCACTGAGGCCTTATTAGATGAATTGGATGAACCAAGATATTTTCTAAGGTGGATCAGAGAGCAGGTTACCATCAATTGAGAATGACAACTGAGATTATCTTCAATACAAATATTGGCGATGCCATTTGGCCTAACCAATGCACCATCAAGGGCGGCTCCGTAAAATTGGTGGTCTAAAGCCAAACTTTAATAAGAGGCCTTATACTTTTTTTATTAGTACGTATACACACAAATATGCAAAAAATTAATCTTGCCATTTTTTTCATACTTGTTGTTTATAGAATATATTCTTAAATGACATAGTCTTTAACTTCACATAGTAATATTATTATTTATATTAAAAAGGAAAATTTTAAATAAATGAGATATTAAACATGTATTTGCAATATGTAACCTTTGATATTGTTGTAGAAAATATATTTACTAATATGAAGATTTAAGTAGTTTAATTCAAAATTTTAAAAATATTTTTACTGTTTAAGAGTAGACACCTTTCTTTCTTTTTTACAATTTTTTTTATACTTTACTATTTTTCCTACAAACATTAATATTGTCTAATTTGAAATAAAGTTATAAAATCCATTATTAAAAATTTTGGGGGACCTAAATCAAAGCTTTACTAATCTCCTACTAGAGCCACTTATCCGCCCCTGACATTCTCAATAAAATTTATAGAGTCTCACTTAAAATAAGGTAACAATGACAAGAGCATTAAAGGCAGCGAGTTTGTCATTCAGTTACCAAATGTGAATGAAGCTGGTTGAACAGTACGTTTATAGTGGGGTAGTAGTCTGTAAATAATTGTTGATTGTCAATGAGGGGCGGCTCAACAAAACTGGTGACCTAAACCAAAATATATTAAAAAGACCCTGAAACGTCTTTTATAAAATTCATATAATATTGAGACACAAAAAAAACCTACATGACTTTGATATAGTGGTGAGAGCACAACTCATGATGTATGAGTTAGGCGCGTGTCATATGGTATTGAATTCTTCCCTTAAGTGAAAATGGTAAAAGGTGAGCCTATTATTCATCATGTTTTGAACCTTGCGACATTTGCCCCGGGGAATTCTTAGTTAAAAAAGATGAGACACAAAAGAACTTGCTTTCTGGTATGTGGTTCAATCAAATGTGACCAAAAGAAATAGTTCATTTAGAGAATCGGAGTTGAAATTAGAAAATAAAATCGTAAGAACCATGAAAAAAGACTATACATAAAGAAAGAAAATTAAAATTGATGAGAAGGTAAATATATTATTTAATTTAGTGAGAAATTTTTTTTCCAATTAACTCACTCAATCTTACGTCTACCAAATGGTAAAAATTATTAAAATTTGAAATCTTTTATTAATAATTATATGAATATAAATTATGGAGTATATATTATATAATAATATAATAGTACTTTTATTTTTGGGGCCTAAATTATTTGGGGGCCTAAGGCAAGGGCTTCACTTGCCTTACCCTAGAGCTACCCTTTTGCACCATCCACCTTAAAAAGCTCGATGAACATCATCTTTAAGCCTTAATCATGTAAATTTGTATTATTTTTCTTCAATTATATACTAATTTCCTTCTTCAATACTTCAGTGAGAGGTTTAGTTTATGCTCTTCAATTTTATTCAAGATTTATTGTGGATACAAATACTAGTGACCTTGGTAGTAGGAGCACTGTATTTTCTTATCAACATTAATTACTATCAACTTAGACTTGATCTATTTATGCAATCTTTGAGTAGTCATATCACCTTTTTACTTTCAAAACATACACTCCCCTCCCCCCAAAAAAGAACCCAAAAAAAATAAATCAAAACTGATAAGCCAAAGGTGCATACTAACTTTCAGTTTCAAGCATTGCCAAGTCAAATGGAGTTCAAATTAGCCATTTTTATCAAGTGGCTTCAACAATAAACTATTACAAAAGCACACTGTTTGATTTAGCCATCATATTAGAAAAGAAAACGTCAAGTAATAATACAAGAACATAAATAAAGGGGAAGAGAAGAACGTAGACGTACTTGGAAGAAGAAACTTATGAAGAAGTAGCCATTTGACTCTTCAATTTCCCTTCAGTCTCTTTTTTTATTTTCTCCCGGCCGCCTCCTACATGAAAACCTTCTTCCAGAAAATGACGAGAATGTCAATCTATTAAGGAGAGCAGAGCAATCTTCTCCGAGGACAACTTTGGAATTAAGCGAAACATTATTTAAAAGAGATTTTTATAAATAAATGAAAAAACAGAATTTTTTTCAATAATGTATTTGTCAAATTTTGTAAGTTTTTGGAAATTTTTCGAAAATGAGTTTTTCAAAAATCAAAAAGTCTTTTGGACCATTTATTCAAAATTTTCAGCCCCATTCACAAAACTGCAATATTTTTTCAAGTAAATGCATGTCCAAACAAAATTTCAAATTCCAAATACTATTTTCAACTTAACTCCAAATACTACTTTTTTTAAAAATTATAATTTTTATGTCCAAACGCCTACTATATTAGAAACTTATTTACCCTCACTAGAGATATTTTAAATTAATTGCAACTTCATATACGATTTACCAATTATATACAAATTAGTATAATTAGTATTGATTGTAGCCTTTTAATTTGGTAAATCCCTTTAAATGCTCATAATTCCTTTTTTCCCCACACAAACCACAATCACAGTTCTTTCTAAAGGATTTTTCCTCTTTCCCTCTTTGAAATCAACTCTATTTTTACACTGATTCTAAAAGATTTTCTTCTAAAGCTCATAATTTTCTCTAACAATGGCGAAGGAAGGGATTAATTTTTTATCTATCTGAATTTTTTAATGGCCAGAGTTTGGAGCTGAAGTTCGCCAGTTACAAAAACAAAAATTTCGCTAGTTACAAACAAAAACATCAGTTCTAGAGCTGAAGTTCGCCAGTTACAAAACAAAAAATTCACCAGTTACAAAAATAAAAACTTTCGCCAGTTACAAAACAAAAACTTCAGCTTTAGAGCTGAACTTCAGGTCAGACTACTAGAATGCTGAAGTTTTGCGTGATTGCCTTTGCTACTTCAGCCGCATATGCTGAAGTTATGCAAAAAGACGGATACGCTTGTAATTTTTTTTATAAAACGGGCACAAATTAAAATGTGACTACAAATGCTCCAAAAGTAACGAATATTGTACTGTAAACTTGGGTCAGTCTATTGGTCATTGCATGGCTTTTTAGAGAGACACGTGTCCCACCAACCCCAGATAACAAACACGTGTACAGTTATTGGTCCGGGTTCAAACTTCAAAGAGAGAAAACTGTGGGTGGAACTTACCAGAAATTAACTGGATGTATTCACTCATCGACAGGGACAATTTTGGTCTTCTTCGTGTTCAATTATTTAGTTACACAGCTAACTTTTTCTCTTTTTGTTACTCATCCTCTATATTTTCTTTACTTGCTCCAGCTACATCTGGCTTTTGCTTCCGCATTTATTTCAAAAAAATCCCAATTTTCTCATTTTTATGTGGATTTCCGTTCCCAGGTAAAGTCATCTCAGAAAATTTAATTCTAGCGATTGTGAAGTATATACAAAAGAGAGAAACCATCGACCAACTGTTTTACCCCAATTATACAGTTTAATCGAATAGGACCTGTGATGAGATAATAATTTAAAAATAACAGAAGCTGAGAAAATCAAAGAAGAGAGAAGAGCGCAAAAGTAAACTCACCACCAAAAACGTAGGTGGTGCACAGCGCCAAAAGCAAGAACCAGTTTATCTTCCACGTCGGAAACGGAGGAGACGACGAAAAGGCGCGCGTAACCAAGAGAGAGAAACAGATCACGGAAGGAAAGGAAAAGAATTCAGCGATTTCGCGTCCTCAAAATCGGTTGTGTAAGACATGACAGAAAGACCAAAATAACCCCCGGATTTTGATACAAAAAAGGGAGTTTGTTGTAATTGCAGAGGCGGATGTAGAATATATCCGCCGGGTGCATTTGCACCCAGTATTTTCGCCGTCGATCATAAGTTTATATGCAAAAATTAATTAAAATTGCAACAAATAGTAGGTTTGAACCCATAACTTTAAAAATAGGCTCAAAAACCTTAAAAGTTGAATATAAATCCCGAATCTGCCTCTGTTCTCTGCTCTGTGATAATTGCTATCTAGGATAAAAGTAGTAATGGAAAGAGAAGTACTTTGATGCCATCAATGTATTTGACGAAATTCCCAGTGAAAGGTCTTCATGATCAACGAGTTTGGATCAAATGTATAGTGCAAATCTTGATTTAAGTTGTTTATGATATAATGATGTCGTGCTTGGGAAGTTTCTGCTCTTGCCTGGATGACATTTCCTCTCTAAAGTTGTGAATTTGAAACGGTTTGAGGTTTGAGATTTACTGACTGGTGCAATAAAGGTTTCACATTTTTTTGGAAGTGAATTGTGTTCGTTGACAATAGGTATGCCCACAGCCAATTACTGAAGGTTACTAAGGAATTAACGAAGAAATTGAGTTACTCTGTATTTTGCTATTGAAATTATTTGGCAATCTAAGTTTGTGCCTTTGTATTTAATACTAGTTTGCATTTCAACTATGTTATTTCAGTTTGTAATTTATTCGCTCACCTTTTTTCCAGGCTTCCGGCACTACTTTCTCTGTCAAGTGTATGGCAATTCTGACCTTTCGATTGAGGTTGTAATTAAACTGTCCGAAACGATGCATCGAAGGCTCCTCTTCTTCTGCTAACTCTAGGTGATCCACGGAAACCTAGCTCAAACTCTGTGAGCTCATTTATTTGTTCTTAAATATTTTTCTTTACCGTAAGAAAATTATTGCAGTTAGTTATATCAACTACTGCTTGCTATTAATTGCACAAATAAAAATGAATGTTAAGTAAAATCTACTAATTGCTTGCTTTATTGCAGTTTGCAGGTGGGTTCTTCCGTGATAGCGTGGGTTATGGGTTTATGGATCACTGGCTTCTCTCGCCATCTCAAAGCCTCATCTGCCCAACATCATTACTTTCTCATTCTATTCATGTAAAATATGGATTCTAATAAAATTTATAATCACAAAATAGTTTAAAAGTTAAAATTGTGTGTCTAGAATCTTGCTTAAAATTGTTTTTGATAAGTAAATAACTTTTTTAGAAAGAAAAAGCACCAAAGGATAGGTGTAATAATAACAAAACCACAAACGTAACACAATATTATGAACCCCACATGACCAGTCTTGAAACTAGGTCCTTTTATTGGTTAAATGTTTTCCATAGTACAAAGAATATAATATGAAGGATACCTAGTGTTTGTATTAAGTACATCACCTAGGAGTCGATCAATTTAGGACAAGTTAAGTTTAGTTTTCTGGCCAAGGATCAATCTGATTTTGCCAGCTTAAGTTGCACCAATGACAAGGCTGGTTGTTAATTGTTATGCTTTTGCCTTATTTGTCTCTAATTACATTTCTCTTCATCGTTTTAGGAATTTTACAGAGTATAATATATATAAAGCCTATTGTTAGTATTATATACATATAAATAGGAACTGATCAACCATTGGCAAGCTGAGGTTTGTTTTTCTAGCCAACAATCTCTCTTTCTGACTATGATGACTTTGTTATGCCAATGACATGGCTTACTCTTATGGTTTTGCCTTATTTGGCTCTAATGAGATTTATGTTTATTGTTCTGGGAATTGTGTGAATGCTTTGTTATCTTTATCTTATTTAGACTGAGTTAATAGATGTGGTATATTTATTTGGTAGGCTGCGCAGATGGAGCTCAATTCAAATTGCAGAGTCAATAAAATCAAGGAGGAATCTGATGCTTTGAGGGGTTTAGCAGAGAATTGGATCCAAAAATAATCTTTAAATATCCTTTTTGGTTTAAATTGACCTCTCTTTCTTGAATCCCTCCCAGAAGCATTTGTTTGATTTTCTTAAGTCAAGCTAATGAATGGCCCAAATTCCCTGATTTTTAAATTCATATGGAGTGATTCTACATCGTGTAAAATTAGCAGCTCCTAATGAAGCCATGTGAGTGAAAAGACTATATGCATCAGTGAAGCATACTAATTTTTGTTGAACACTGGAGGGAGAAGAAGAGCAAGTATTTCCTTTCACAATCACTGTTACATTGAGCACAATCACAGTTAATCGCCATCGGTACCCATAAAAACTTGGTCTTCTGCGGTCTGCATCATAAAAGATTACAATCATAAAGTAGTAGGACTTTCTAACTTTCCTATTGGCTTGAGTGCACAGTTACATTAATTCTGATGTTGTTTGTTAGAGAAGAGGCATATCGCTCAAGATTAAACTTCTGTAGCAATAGGAAAATGCCAACTCTGTACTACTATTGCTGCCAGAGTTCTTACTGCTCTTAAGTTATTAGTTTGTACGCAGAGGCGGAGGTAGAATGCTGGCAGCGGGTTCGGTCGAACCTAGTAACTTTAATTCGAACTCTGTATTTGTCTTATAAATTCATTAAATATGTATAAATTATTAATTTAGAACCCAGTAACTTTTAACGATTAAAAACCTGAACCCATAAACTTGAAATCCTAGCTTCAGAGTGATAAAATAAGGATTGTGTTAAATTTCATCTTCCACTTCCTGTTCAAGCTTTTTATGGCATTTAAAATGTAGCTGATTTTTTTTTTTTGTTTGACAGTTATGTGATCTACAATTGAATCATTTTTAGCATGCAAAATTTAATCAATATATACCTTTACAGTACTTTCATTTTAGCTTTATTACCTGCTACTTCAGATCCAAATTTTTTACTTCTTTCACTTCCAGAAGTAACTCCTGCCCGTTAACAATGTCTTGGACACGTTTCAAACAAAATCTTTCGAATTCAATTAAGAAAATCATCCTGGAAAAATTTCTGACTCTGTGCATATAAGTCTATCAGTGCTGTCCTACATAGAAAAGGAACACATCTTTGCACTAAATATTGGCTATAGAAGCAAAAAAAAAAGTCAAGCCTCTAGGTATAAATGAGGCCGAAATGGAAGCCGCAGATGTGATATCAGAATCTTCAAGCACAGGGTTAAAGCTGGAACCACCAATACCATAAAAATTTGTAAAAGGCGAGTCCCCTTATATATTTATAGTTGAGGTTTTCTTCTTTCCTCTGACTTCTGAATTTTTATGCTTATAATATAATGCACCTTAGAATTGCTTATTTCCTTACAAAACTACCTTCTTTTTGCTCTTATTTATGTTTGCCAACTGCAGGAAGTATGTACCTTTTTTGGGATCTTTTTCTTCTGGAAAATAAATCCTTTTGGGTTTAGATATGTATGGTATAGTCTCACTCCCCTTACCCTTCACAATTTTGTCAATTCTGTAACTTGTGAACAAAAATGAATCTTAATTTACTGTGTTTGTTCCTGATACATTCAGTGTATTGAAAATTGCCCGGAGAAAATTACACTATTATTCTACCCATAGCTCTCTAGATGTTCTGTTCCTTAATTGTTTTTGCCTAGGTCATCATCAAAAGGTTGGGATTACAACTTTTCATCTTTTACATACTAGAATGTCAACAAGCGGACTGAAATTATACTTCAAGTTCAGAGATAGAGTGAGCACCGTACCAAAGAATTTCAAGTATTCGCTTTTATTAATTTTACTGATGTTTTTTATCAGCAAATGGTTTCTCTAAAGCCCCAAGTTAAAAGACCCGTCCTTCGTACTTATAGCTTTCTAGCATAAGCCCGTAGTTCCATGACTTAATACTCTTCAGTAATCAACATCATTTTTGTTTTTATCTTGAAATATGATAAAGCTTCGAGTCTAAGTTCCTTAGTAATGGGTTTAGAAAATTCATGCATTGATTCCTATTCTCTTTACATATTTTCTGTAGACAGTAGTCCTAAAAAAAGGCAGTCAAGAGCAATACTGAAGAAAAAAGTACCATAAAGAGAAGCTTCAATGTCTTACAACTCACATTTGATAGATGAAAAGGAAAAACTTCTGGCAGCTGCATTTTGGTTTCTGGGCTCTCATTACTTCAACTTCTTTCCGATTGTCAATCATCACTTGACCTGTTTATGTATGCTTTGAAGTCTACTTTAATATGTAAATGCATGATCAATAATTCTGCTAATTTCTCTTGGTTGCCTATGATCTGCTTTTTACTTCAGCGAAGGTTTGTAGAAATGTTAAAGCTAATCCTTGTGGCCTAATAAGATATTACTCTTTAGAATGAATAGTCATATTTAAATCTATTTAATTTTTGTAATTGTAATCTTAAATAAAGAGATTCAAGTTTAATTTGACATAGAAATTGTTCTTCCCCGTTAGTTGAATGTGCAACACATTACATCTTGCTTTATAGTTTTTGAGTGATTACTCCAACAGTAGCAACCTATGCGACTATCTATCAAAAACTTGTAACCGGAAAGAACAGAGGTTACCTTTGAAGCCAACATGTGAGTCTCAATGTGACATATAATTTGTAATTACTAAGTCTCTGTTTCACAAAATAGAAAGCATTATTATTTAATGATATGTTCATTGTCATTAATTTTTCTGCTGTTGAGCTTGGCATAACGATTTTTTTTCAATCAAATTTTGCAAAACGTTATTTATAAGAACAATGTTAATATGTTGTTTTTAATTAAAAAAAGATATATTATGTTGGCCCGTTGCACGGGCATACCCTAACTAGTAATACTATAGAGAGAACTTCATTTATAGTAGTAATACTATAGAGAGAACTTCATTTATAGCCCATCGGGCAAAACAAATTTCATTTGGTAGCCCACAAATTACCCCATACAAGTCATAGCCTAAAAATAAAATAAGTGCTAGCCGGAAACTTTACTAATTCCCTCGCCGGAAATCCACCCAGCCAACTATGACCATGACTGCTCCTCTCGCTTTCCTCTTCTTCCTTGCTAGTCACATCAATTTCCCAAGCAATGATTTAATCCTTGAAACAAATNGAATTGACCACTGGCTGGCGACGGTATTAGTTCACATCAATTTCCCAAGCAATGATTTAATCCTTGAAACAAATTTCACCAACAGATGCAAAAGTCACAAGCTCAAAGTAAGTGGATTTTGAATTTTACTCGTCAATTCGCTTCGCCCAATTTATCAAATCACTATTAGTAGTATTTCAATTCAACGGAACAATTTCAAATCTCACTTTTCATAACAAACAAATATTAACAGAAGTTCCAAACCCAGACATGAGTTTCTTTTCTTGATTCAAAGTGCAGAATCAATGACACCAATAAGAGCAGTAGCGGAATTTCTTTTTTAATAGTCTGATTTTGAGTTTTGTGGCGACGGGTAAAAGTCCAGATCTTCTTATTTCGGCAGTGGTGTAGCATAAGGCTCAACCTTGTCTTCTTCTCTGATTTTCTCTTACAGTTTCTGTGAATATGTAGATAATATTTTGAAGATCTTTGGCTAAAAGTTTAAAACTCCGGCGATCTTGTTACCATTTTCGGTGACTGTGAGGCCTTGGACGCTGGTGGCTGGTTTCTCAATGAGAGGAAGAACAGAGGAGATGATTATGCATAAAGTTGAAATATCTACAAAACATACTGTTATTATACAAAAATTATACAAAATAGACTATCACTATACAATTTATATACAAATAGACTGTTATTATACAATTTATATACAAATAGAGTGTCATTATACAAAATATATACAAAAATAGAATGTCATTATACAAAAAATATACTAAATAGAATGTCATTATACAAAATATGTACAAAATAGACTATCAACAACAACAACATCCCAGTATAATCCCACAAGTGGGGTATGGGGAGGGTAATATGTACGCAGACCTTACCCCTACCCCGAGGGGTAGAGAGGTTGTTTTCAGGAGACCCTCGCTTCAAGAGAGCAATAAGAGACAATATATTAGTACTATCAATAGACTCATAGTAAATAACATAAAATAACAAAATAACAACAATATACAAAATAGACTATCACTATACAAAAAATATACTAAATAGACTGTCACTATACAAATAGACTGTTACTATACAAAAAATATATAAAATAGACTGTCACTATACAAATAGACTGTCACTATACAAAAAATATACAAAATAGACTGTCACTATGCAAAAAATATACAAAAATAGTCTGTTATTATACAAAAAATATACAATAACACTTATAAGATCCAGAAGTACATTTAAAAAGGCAAAAAAGGGTTGCTCTATCACACCAGGTGAGGGTCAAACCTGCAACCTTCAGCTTAGGAAACAAGCGCTCTAACCACTGAGCTACAGGCGCTTATGTTGTCATGCTTATTCCTTTCGGCTACTATATGCAATACGTTTGGGCCGAAGGGTCATTTTTTGTAAGTAGGACAAAACATGGACTATTAAAATTTTAAGGGACTATAGAGAGTAGTTTTCTCAATACTATATATTGCGGCGACTCAAAAGGACTACTTAAACAAACAAGTTGTCTCTTTTCTTGGCCGCATAAATAAATAATAAAAACACTATTCAATATGTTCCTAAGCAAAAGAAAGTTAAATTCCATGAAAATATAAAAAAGATTAAGGGGATTTAACATTTTGAAATTAGTATCTCTCTAAATAGTTAGTCGCAAATTAATAAAGATACATGAATAAAAAGGTAATATTAGAATTTAACTACGACTTGAAATAATTTTTTGAAAATTAGAGAACAAAAGAGAAATAAATTAAATAATAAAATTAACTTCATTAACAACAGTTGCTCTAAATAATGGTCAGCTATAAAACACTATATAGTGCGGCGAAATGATGGGCGCGCATACATATATATATATATATATATATATATATATATATATATATATATATATATATATATATATATAATTAACAATCCAGCCTACTAGTGATATTGTTTGCTCTGGGCTTAGGCCCTCACGGGTTAAAACGCGTCACTAGGGTCTAATGCTTGTTAACTCATATACCCAGCATCTCTCTTGTGTTTTGCCGATGTGCGACTCTGTCTAAAGTCTGGGGGTGTTACAAACACCTCCTCTTATGGCCTCAGTGTCCTCGCTGAGGTTTGCCCCACCGCATGGGATTCGCCTAGACTCAGCACTGAGGTTTGCCCCGCCTAACTGGGATTTACCTAAACTCAGTTGAACTCTGACCCACCATCGACAAGGTTGATACAAGAGTGACTCTGATACCATATGTAGCAACCCAGTTTACTAGTGATATTGTCCGCTCTGGGCCTAGGCACTCACGAGTTCAAAACGCGTCACTAGGGTCTAAGACTTGTTAACTTATATACTCAGTATCTCTCTTGTGTTTTGCTGATGTAGGACTCTGTCTAAAGTATGCGGTGTTATATATATATAGACACACACACACTGACTATTTTTAGTTTAAGCAATTGGACAACTATTTAGGTTAGTTCTATATATATATATACACACACACACATATATATATATATATATACACTGACTATATTTAGTTTAAGCAATTGGATAGCTATTTAGGTTAGTTCTTCTTCAAAAAATATGCGGAGAATTAACGCTAAATGCCTATCAAACCCAAAAAAAAATTCATGTTTTAGCCCAACCTAAAGTTTGTTTCAATTTTGTAGAAATGGCGTGGGATAGTCACTTTTTAATATGGTACTCAGTTTTTATCCAGTATTTTAATGCTGAGCAAAAATAGCCAGAACTCTATTAAAATTAATATGAAATGATATTTTTACCCTTTCTTCATGAGTGCTGTGTAAATATTAAGGACATGGTATCCTTAACATTTATACTAAACACATGATGTTAAGGACTCCATGTCCTTAATATTTATACTGCACATATGAAGTTAAGGACATGACATGACACTTTGTCCTTAATATTTACACAACATTCATGAAGTTAAGGACTTCATGTCCTTAATATTTATACAACACTCATAAAGTTAAGGATATTATATCCTTAACATTTACACTGCACACATCAAGTTAAGGACACCATGTCCTTAACATTTACATTGCACATATGAAGTTAAGGACATGACATGACACTTTGTCCTTAATATTTACACAACATTCATGAAGTTAAGGACTTCATGTCCTTAATATTTATACAACACTCATAAAGTTAAGGATATTATATCCTTAACATTTACACTGCACACATCAAGTTAAGGACACCATGTCCTTAACATTTACATTGCACATATGAAGTTAAGGATATGAGGCCCTAAATTTTAACAACAGAATGTGCAAATATAAGTTAAGGACATTATGTCCATAACATTTACACTGCACACATGAAGTTAAGGACGCCATGTCCTTAACATTTACACTGCACATATGAAGTTAAGGACATGACATGACACTTTGTCCTTAGTATTTAAACAACATTCCTGAAATTAAAGACACCATGTCCTTAATATTTACAGAGCACCCATGTTTAGCACACGAGTATTTTCTTTCGGGCGGATAAAAATTTATTAAGCACTGGCTTGTATACGTTGAAAATCAGAGAGTCCGATTTTATGATCATTATAGCACTTCGCAGAGACCGCCCCAGAAGGCTCGAGGCTCAACCCGGGGTTCGACCCCGAGGGTCTCAATGATCGAACTCGAGGCTGTGCAAATCAATGGCTATGATGGACAAACGGGAAGTTCCCAAGGCACGTGATTAAAGCTGACCAAGTCTATTGGACTAGTTCAAGCCCGTACCGTGGCATTAAATGGTTGTACCAGCCTCAAACCCTTGTAATAAATGCGACTGTACTATGTTGGGATTCTTCCTCATATATAAAGTGGACCCTTGTCATTTTTTAACACAATAACACACAACATTCAATACAAGAATATTCTCTGCTCTCTAACTTAAATACATTCTCCTTTGATTCTATTACTTACATTTATTGCTTACATTTATTGTGTTTCATTAATTGTTCTTCATTTATTACTCATTATTGACCATAAAGAGCTCAGATCAAAGCTCTTAGTATTGTTAGACCTTCATTGGCCGGTTATAGCCTAGCGCTTAGATCGACCTCGAGGCCCCATATAGGCCAGCTCGAGGCCCCGAATCCCAGCCACTCCGTTTGCTCGATACACTGCCTTCAAGCTCTTATCATATTTTCTAGTCTCACACATAGCATCTATTGCCTAACAACTAACATAAAAACAAATCCCCTATTTTTAGAACTACGAAATCAAATCAAATTGTAATTACCATTTTCAAGATAAACAGTTTGGCGCCCACCATGGGGCTAAAAATAATAGTGGTTATTTTCTTGCTGGTTTGCTACATAACGCAAGTT